ACAAAGTAAACTATCTAAAGGAAGGAGAACTTTTATTATTTGGTGCTCAAGTAAAATTATTCCTCAAAATTTTCTACAATATTCTACATTATTCTACATTAAAAGTTCAATAAAACTCAACTAGCCTATAAAATAGCTATTAGTTTCAGCATTAAGCAGATTTAACATTACTTGGCTGGTAGAAAAAGTGAAAAAAAAGGTGGGAAAAAATCAGTGTTAAGTAGGTATAAATAAAATATTTAAGCTAAATACTGAGAGAAAACTTAATATCCAAGCAGTCAACCAGTTTCCAAATGGAAAGCCATGATAACTCGTTTGCTGAGATGAAAGCAAAACACAATGAATACCAGAGTCCACTGCACAGCTCAATATAATACAATTGAGTGAAGAATAAGTGCATAGGAATCTTTTCCATTCTAATAACCTCACTTCTAAATAAACAGGAACTACAAAGAAATATGAGAAGTAGAAAATCAAGAGGGAAGTTACATATTCTGTTCCATGAGAAGTTAAGAATTTCTATAAAATTGCTAATGCAGTCAACAGAATCTATTTTTACTCAACTCAAGATTAAAGATTTTTTCTTACAAAGCAAAAAAGCCATCCAGTTAAATATAAGTGTAAAGTATAATAGCTTCAGAATATCTTCAACACTTACCTCTTCTGGGGTAATAACACCTGTTTCCTTAAACTTTGATTCCTAAAGAGAGGAAAAAGAATAACAGTATCATATTATCTTTCACTTTCAATTTAAAAATATTTGTGAGCAACTATTTGCCTGGCACCCTCCTAGGTAATGAAACACATACAAAAATGAAAATATATCACTGGAAGCTGACCTCAAGGAATATAAAAGTCTAATGGAGAAAACTGACGTGAAAATAATAATACAATAATTTTGTGAAATGACAAATATCTTTATTTTATAGGAGTAAAAATGTCTTAAAGATGTTTAGACATCTTACAATTCAGCCAACATCTCATTAACATTGAGTAATATTAGAAACCAAATCTATAAGTCATAAATCATTACTTGACTGGATACTTTCCTATTATTTGATCATTTGATATTTTCCCATTATTCTCATCTCCACCAGTGTACTAATAAAATATTCTCTTCTCTAAAGCAAAGATGTTATTTACCAAATTTTTCTAAATTTTTAAGTTATATGTAAAATTTTATGGCAGAGTCTGAAAAAAAATGCAGAGATTCATTTATGAACATTATTCATTCAACAAATATTTGCCAAATAACTACTATGTGCCAGGCACTATTTGAGTTAATGGGGATATAGGAGTGAATAAAATAGAGCAGATTCATCTTTGTCCTCTTAAGAACTTAGAGAAGGGAGAAAAGCCAAATGGTAATGAATGCCGGGAAGAAAAATGAGGCAGAGAGGAAACTGGTCAGGGGTGGAGGAAGAGAGATGGCTATTCGAAATAGGATGGTAAGAGAACAAAGACTTCACTGATAGGTGACTACTGAACAGAGACCTTAGGATAGGGTCCAGACACAAGAGTGTCTGGGAGAAGAGCATTTCACACAGAAGGAAGGGCAAATGCAAAAAGCCAGAGCAAGAGAGTGCTTGATGGAGTAACAAATAGGCCAGATTGGCTTAAGCAAAAGTGGGCAAGGGATAGAGTACTAGATGAGATAGGGATCTCTCCAATCAAATAGAGGCTAGAAGATCTTTGTAAAGACTTTGGCTTTTACTGTACCTATGTCTTCTAAATCATGATTTTTCTTAATTTTTACTTGCTGGGAGAAATCATTATTTCCTTCCCAAGGATTTAAGTTTTTCCTTGTCTTCCCATGTCTGGTAGGGAACTATAAGGATTCCCACCGCAAATCAACAGTTTGCACAGGGAGGGGCAAAAGGGGGTCATTAATTCTGCTTTCTTTATTACTAAAAATACATACTGGCAAGTACATACTGACAAGCTAACACTTCCTTGTCAGTTTAGTGAACAAGTAGAACAATTTCTCAAAACATAATTCTACGTTATAAATTCAATAAAACAAAACCGGCTAATAATAGCAGTTTTATATTTAACTTGGGAGGTCTTTTTCTCTTGCTCTTCTCTCCCTGAAACTAAAAAGTTGAAACAATCATGCATTTATTTAAATGCTATATACCTACATAGACAGTTTTCTGAAAAGATGGTATAATATGCAAAAGAATCATTTGAGTCAAATGTCAAAATTTTCAATTGACTGAATAATCTTAATTGAGATGGTTTTCCCAGGAAACAAACACAAGCATAGCAAGTTGAAAATTCTAATTTACAAACTTTCCAGACATTTTTTTTTAAGTTGGCCCAACAAAGCATTTTAAATTCAGTCTTAGAAATGAATATAAAAAATATACAAAACTAAAATTTCTCTTTGTCATGGAAAGAGAACAAAGTAAAAACTGTGCACTATTCTCACAGCATACTAGAATTCTTGAATAAAGAGAATCGACTATTCCAAGGATATTTCGTCCCCACACTAAGATTTGTAAAATTTTCATTGAAAGCTTAAAAAACAAAACCCACCAAGCAAGAACTCACTACTCAAGATCACTGCTTACTTTTCAGAAAGAAAAAGTAAAGTTACAGTAATGAAAAACTTAGTGTAAAGGAATTGTAAAATAACTTGAATGCATTTCTGGAAATTTATCTTTGAAAATAGGAGTCACTGTTTTAATAGCTAATGTGTCGATTTTTACTTTAAAAATGCTGTATTATTGCCAATGTAAAAAATATATGTATCTAGGAGGGTCAAGCTGCTCTTTATTATCACTTAAGTCCAAGATTAACATCTGGTTTCAGCTCTTTTAAAAACTGGGAAAGGGAGGTTCTGCCTGTTAGCTGGGTTCAAAGGTTCTTAAAGGTACTGATGTTGCAAATTTCACTTTGTTTCTCTGAAATTTAACTAGACTTGGATTACAACTATTTCAGTCACAACTTACTATTTCAAACTTCTAATTATAAGGAACTATGAGATTTGGAAGAAAAAAGTGACATGTTATTTTAGTACCAAACTCTGATTTCTTTTTATGATAAGCCAAATCCTTGTCTAAGAAGTTCAAAAGACTACCAATGTTAGGATTTAACGTTGTCAACCCCACTTAGCTGCGGACCACCTTCCAGCCCCACGTACCCAGAAGTGCTGTTCTGACGGGTGTGGGGTGACAGGAGTACGCACAGAGCGTGGCTCCAAGTTTACCTGAAGAGCAGGAAAGCCCTATGTAAGACCACGGGTTGAGGTTGCACCTTTTCCTATGTCCCACCCTTAACACCTTCCTACACCTTCCCCCGCCAGAGAACACGGTGACTTCCCCGACGCCCGGTCCTCGGTCTCTGCAGAGTTGAGCGTGTACCTGACAGCCCCTGGCAAGCCCGGCCCTGCTTACCTTGAGGACCGGGGTCAGGTACTCAGCTACTTCCAGTGCCTTTCCCTTCACTGTGTTAATCACATTCTGCATCCTGGGGCCGGAGTAGGGGCCGGCCCCGCGACGGGGTGGGAAGGGCAGCCGGGACAGTGACCAGGAGTCAAAAAATGTCCCCGCTGACGCCGACTCGCATGGGCACTCGGCCGGCAACACTCGAGGGGATGGGACGCGACGGGACGGACGGGACGAGGGGGAGGGGCGGCCGGCGCCGCGCGCGCGAGACTGGAGCGCGCGCTCCTCGCGTCCCAGGCGGCGCGCGGCGGACCGGGCCCAGCTGTCACTTGGCCTCGAGGAAGGGCAGTGGGGCCGAAGCGTGTGTTGGGGGGGTAAGAGCGGGGCAGGCGCAACCCCTCGCCCTCGGTAGCCGTCTCCTCCTAGTTGCTTCACTCGTACCCCTTCCGGCTTCCCCCTCTCTCACTCTCTCGCCGTAGCTCCGTCGCCACCTGGGCCTCACGTGACACAGGACTCTCCCGACACGTGACGCGAAAGAGGCTGGGCTGGGGCGGGATCAGGCCGCTTCTCCCCGCCCTCCGGAAGCCTACACTGAGCGCGCCTGCGCAATGGACTCCAGTCGGCTCGTTATTGTGCTTTTTGTTTCGGAATAGGAGGCTCGGGGGCAGAGGCATTTTTGCCTCTTTCTCTCCCATAGCTTCCCTGCCTATGAACCCTGAAAGCTCCTGCTGCTGTTGCTGCTGCTGCTGCTGCTGCTGTTACTCAGTTATACAGTTACTGATTCAACTCTAGGATGTGCGTCCTTCCAGTAGAAACCCTCTGGCGAGACTGAGGTAACCGCGCCCCGCGGACCAACAAGTACGCGTGCGTATGAGGGGTGGGCACGCCAGATGAGTTCTGAACTGCGCATGTGTGACGAGAAGGCTTTTCCCTGGCGGTCTAGGGAAACCTGCATTCCTGGTGTAGGAGTGGTGTCTCTGGCCCCTTTACGTTGCGCCCATCGGGTATGTTATGTTGGCATTTCAAGTCCATCACACCAATCCCCCAGGCTCTGTGCACTCTCCCTACACTGGGAGATTGGGCAAGTTGGTTACCTGGCCTAGAATTTAGTGTTCTCAGCCTATGAAAAGAGGGCCTTAGAGTCATTGATTTCTAAGTTCTCTTCTGCTTCTAACAGTAGTTAAGCATAAATTAACAGCAGTGTAATGAAAACTTTCCAAGTAAGCTCTTTTTTCTCAAAGAGAAGATCTGCGGCTGAGGAAAGAAAGAAAAGTCTGAAATTCTCTTATTCTAGAGCAAAGTTGCTAATAGAAATGGAAATTAAATGCATTTTTGCAGAATTCTGCAGTCTCAAAGTGTCATTTACTTACCTGCTACACTTCTAATCTGGCCCTTGCCTTTTCTGTCTCTTATCAGATTTTGAGTCTTTTTCATTTCCTTTCTCCATAGTTTCTCTCGTACTCCTCAACTTTCTTGGGTTTGATAACAGCCATAGGCAAACATTTAAAAAATTTATTTTTCTGTCCTTCACAAATCAATGGTATTTGCATTATGCTTACTCTGCCAGCAGGGTTGCTCATGAATTTATTATTCTATTTAAGGCAATTGGAAAACAGTGGAATGGAAAGAAAGTGCTGTGGTCATCCCATGTTATGCTCCTTGTCAACAATGTATACATTCTTGTTAGGGGCCATATTCATTGCTTTAAGCTCAAGTCGAATCCTGTTGGTAAAATATTCAGCCAATGAAGGTAAGTTAAGACTTGGAATATGGATGGAGCACTTCCATCTAATCACACATTATCTCTCCTGTCTTTACTTTCCTTGTGTACGAAATGGGGTAATACCCTTTTAAGCACTCAGCTTCGTGTGAATGATAAAGAATGTTTAAATTTGATTCTTTAATTTTTCATTCCTTAGCAAGAAAAATGTTTGATGCTGAGTAGAATTTGGATCGGTCAAGTACAGGATCCAACCCTTTACAGAATAGATCATAACATCTGACTTGCTTTAATCAACAAGTGTTTCTGTCCGTAGCAATATGTATAATTATAATTTATTTTGAAATAAACAGGAGGATATATCTGTTTGTTCACTTGGCATTTCTGATGAGGTACTATCTTAATTACTATATCAGTGGACAGTACAGATTATTAGCTTTGATAAATGTGTGCTCAAGAAATCTATTTTTTTAATATAAGAATTCGTATTTAAACAGTTTAATTGTGTAAAACTGTACTGAGACCCTTTCACTAGTTATGAGGACACATAAAATTATGACATCATGACTTTTAATGGTATGCTTGGGAAGTCAGGTGTGTATGTTAGTCTCTACTTCATTTAGCAGTTATCTGCCAGGCATTAGGCGAAGTATTAGTAGGGATTCATAGTGCATAAGACATAGAGCTTGTTCTCAAGAACTCACAGTTTATTAGGAGAGACATAAATGTAAGTACATCGTGAAAATACAGTGTAATAAATGCAGTTATATACCAAAGTTGCAGAGATCAGAGTAGAAAGTGGTATATTTTGTCTGGGAGAGGATGATGTGGAGTGCAAATAGATAAGGAAATACTTTCCTGATCACTTCCATGATAAGATAACACTTGATCCACAAGACTACAAGTCAGTCAGGAATATTCAAAATAGAGGCAACAGCCTATAAAAATGAACAGATGCATTAAAAGGAATGGATTGTGAGAACATGTAGTTCAGAATTACTGAGCAAAAACTTTAAGGATTCGGAAGTGGGGATTGAGTGGGGGGGGCGAGGAGGGCGGCAAGGAAGGATTGCTTGGCCAGAGAGAGAAGTAATGATCAGATAGTTAAGGACTTCATATGCAATGCTAAGGATCTGGGCCTATTATCTAGGCCCTAGAGTCTGGGGGATTAGGAATAATTGAAGGATATAAACAGGCGGGTAAAATGAGAAAGACACATGGTAGCTGGATGGGGGATGTGCTAAAGAGGAAGAGACTGGAAGCAAAGATATTGCAAATTTAGGGAGTTATTGCTAATTCAAACCACAGATGATAAAGACTAACCAAGACTTTGGAAGTAGGGACAAAAAAGAGAAAATAGATTAAAAAAATATTCTAAATATAGAAAAGACAGGAGTTGGAGAATATATTGAATGTAGAGATTAAAAGATGAAATATTGGATAACTCATTTTTCCAGTTTGGAGTGCTAAGTGGATCAATGATGCTCTCAGCTGAGATGTAGACTATTAGGAGGAAGAGCAGAATTCAGAGAAATTACAGAATTTTAGGCCAGGAGCTGTGTGCTTGTTCATTGCAGTATCCTGCAATGTCTAGCACATCACACATGTGCAGGAACTGCCAATTAAATGAATAAATAGGAGGTAGTTATTCATATGCATGTGTTTAGTGAGCATGAAATGTTCCAGAGTATAGATTTGGAGACATTAATATTGACATTTAATACTCTAGGAACAGAGAGCCCATTCAGGGTGAGCATGCAAAATGAAGAAATGGAGCCAAGGACAAAACTCCAAGGAAAGCCAACATTGAACAGGCATCCTGACACTCGGAAGGATGTTAAGAAGGAATTGTTAGAACTAAATGCACATGACTCATAGAAGGGAAAGAATATGTTTGAAGACAGAGAGAATTGCAACATAATAAAGATTAAAACATGCCCTTTGGAATTAATAATTAGAAGATATTTGGTAATCTCAGAAAGTAGGTAGTTTGAGTACAGTGGTGGGATCAGAAGTGAGATTACTTGAGGACAAGACCTGAATGAAGAGTGGGCAAAATGAAGATAATGAATGTTGACACTGTTTTAGAGGAGAAAGTATGGTAGTTGGAGGGATAGGATCTTATATAGTGTTTTGCTTTTCAGATGGGAGCGTTTTGAGCATATTATAGGCCAAGGGGAGGAAGCCAGTTAATAGAAGAATAAAGGAGATACCGAAGCCAGAGGAATTACTAATTAGAACAAAGTCCCTGAAGAGAAGGGAATATTTTAAAGGGGTGAATGTCTGAATAGTGAGGCCATGACCCCTTTCTTTGGGACTAACAGGAAATCAGTAAGGATGGATGTAATATAGATAAGGTATGTGAGTATGGGCAGAAGGTGAGTAGAGGGAGGTTTCACATGATGCTGAGACACAGTTTGGGATCAACCATGATAGAAATACAAGAAAAAAAAACCAATAGAGCAAGTATGAGTTAAAGAGCACTGATGTAGGTGCATGTTTGCTCACATGTGTATCATGACAGAGATCAATGTGAAGTATTATTAGAGAATAGTAAAGTGTGATTTCAGTCTAGCTTTGAGCTCAGAAAAGAGAGGAGAGAAAAGTTTAACAGGCAGATAGCTAAATTGAGGTTAACATTGATTAAGTGCCTACGAAGAGCAGAACATCGTTAACTGCCAGATATACGAAGATGACTAAAATGGTCTTTTTCTCATAAGGAGCTTACATTCTCAGGGTAAGATACACACATAAAAAATAACTAATGCAATGTGAGAGGTACTATTATAGAGATTGACAGATGGTGCTACAGGATCAGAGATGAATAAAGACTTTATTATGCTTAGGTTGAGAAGGTCAGGGGAAACAGAAAAGAGGAAGAAAGGGTATTCTGGGACAAAAGAATGTTGAGTTGGTGTTTTTCTGTGCTTGGCCAGTTTTGATTTTTAATGTGATGACCAAGGGAAATAAGCAAATGTTTTCAAAAGAGGGGAAAATACATTTCTCAAAATAGGACCTAATAAAGTTGATGTTTGTCCTTGGCAAAATTAATAGAGCAAGTTGGTTGTAAACATGGAGAAAAGGCAAAGGTAACAGCTAAGACCAAGGCATGCTAACCAAACCTCATTTCCTAAAAATTAGATTGACTTTTAAGTTAAGACATAGCTTTCCAACTCATCAATGGGTTTTTGAATGTGTAAGAAAATTTTCTCTGTGCCCTAGAAGTAGCCAGAGCCCTGCACAAGTTGCTTCTTGCCTCAAATAACTTCCTTCTTTTACCCCAATGTAGCTTGTGTCCCACAGTGCCAAACAAATGTTGTTATCTATGTGTGCCATGATATGAAAAAGGGAAACTCTGAGTTAAGGAAATATCACAGTGTACCTTGATTTTAGTAAGGCCAACAAGTCTCTCAAGAGGAACCATGAGCTAGGTAATGATGTAGCCAGGCAACTTCATAGCCGTTTGAGGAGTCAGGCCCTGAATGTTAATAGTCAATTTAGAAGGTAGTCTCTCATGCCATGCCACAAAGCTTTCATTGCCCATAGCCCTAGCCAACTCAACGTATTTATCAGCAACTTGGATGAAAACCTGAAAAGCATATTTATCAAATTCAAGGATAATAAAATGCCGAATAGGGTAGGGATAGATAATACATTAGGTGAATTGATTAAAAAATCCAAAAGAGCAGAGCCAACTAGATGAAGTTTAATATAACCAGTATTAAAATCCGGCTTTTAAGTTTAAAAACAACTCTAAATTATTAACTGTATATAAGCATTATATGGAGCAAAATTTATAGTTAAACATTTCTGTTACATTTCAGAGAATAAATATGATTATCTTCCCACTACTGTGAATGTGTGCTCAGAACTGGTGAAGCTAGTTTTCTGTGTGCTTGTGTCATTCTGGGTTATAAAGAAAGGTGAGTCTTGAAACTTATTAAAAATTATAGAATCAAAAAATTTTAGAACTTGCAGGAACATTTTATATCATTTAGTCTAGCACATTTATTTTATATATGAGGATGCCAAAATACAAACAAGTATGATTATCCATGTTTTGCAGGTGGAGAAACAGCTCAAAGAACAAGTGTTATGCACTGCTGGCTAGGAGGGACAGAGCTAGGACTCCAACCCACATTTCTTAGTGTCCTGTCCATTGCTCTACCTCATGGTTTGTTCATGTGACAGGTCACGCAGCGAGTTAGTTTTTATTCAAAGTCAGAACTTTTCACATTACTCCTGTCTGACTTATTATGTAGCATATTGCAAAGCAGTCCCCTGTTCCTTCAAGGGTGGCAGCCTGGTGCATTGGAGTCAGAGAGACTGTACTCTGGGGCAAATTATTTTAACTTTTCTGAGCTTCCTACCTCAAATCTAAAGTGTCTAGCATTTTGTGATTCTGCATGTCAGTTTTTCAATTATTGAGCCTTAGCTCTCTACAACTTTGATCTGCTTTTCCATATGAGGTTAAACAGAAATCGGAGTAATAAAGGGCTTGTCCAAGAGGATGTCTTTTCATACTGGAAAGTTTTAATGTGTGCAGAGTTTCCAATTAGTGGACTACATTTCCTAATACGAAATTCATGTGTTATTTAAAGGGCTTAAACTTAAATTATTTGATATCTTTTCATCTTCTTTATATAGTGCCTTCCTAAATTTTTGGAACTCTAGAAATGGGACAGTAACTCATACTAGGATTAGTAAAAGTTAATTTTCTCTACTTCCCTACATACACATTTTCATCTAGTATCTCCCTTTCTTGATTCCCCACCCCCCCAGGGGAGAAAAAATCCCGGCATGAAAGCTTGATCTTTTTCTACTTATTTTAATTTAATTTATTGATCTCTCACTTGGCTTTATGCTCTCACAAGACTACGTGAAACCACACGTGTATCCTGAGTTGCCTTAAATGATATTTCTACCTCAAGTTAATTAACAGGAATTAGGAGAATCAGTAATCCTAACGTGTTGCTGATTGTCAGTAATGAAGAACAGTGGTGGGTTGAAGAAAGGCAATAATGAAATCCTGTATTGCCTTTGATTTCTTAAGGCTAATAATCACTTATGAAAGCAAGTTCTGAAAAGCCTCTTTTAAAAAATTGTGTCAGAAATTAGATGTAATTTACTGTCTCTAAAAATGTGGGCATTCTCATCAAGATCATTTATTTATTGCTGTATTTCTTTCTTTAGAAAATCATCAAAGTAGAAATTTGAGATGTGCTTCCTGGAGGGAATTCTCTAATTTCATGAAGTGGTCCATTCCAGCCTTTCTTTATTTCCTGGATAATTTGATTGTCTTCTATGTCCTTTCCTATCTTCAGCCTGTAAGTAAATATGACAAAGAAGATAGCATTGGAAAAACACAGAGAAATGAATTTCAGAGTTAATCTTTTTTTTTTTCCTTAATCATTTTCTTTGTCATTGTTAGTTTCTCATTGCCCTCACTGGCCTTCGTGAGGTTTGACCAGAATCATCTGTGTATTGACTTACCAATCTGCTTGCCAGATTCCCTCACTGTTAAAGATTGCTCTCTTAAACTGTGCTGACTATTCTGTTCCCGGGCCAATGAATCTGGTACCATCTCTCTTTGTAATCTTAATCAATCTGCCTGTTTTCTGAGCCATCCTGTGGTCACCAGCCTCTAATATTAATCTCAGCATCCAGGACCTCCAAGAAGACTGAACTCAGAAAATTATATACTCTTGCACCACTCTTTCATAACCTGCTTTAATGTAGTTTATATGTATTTGTATGATTTTCTTTTTCTGTTAGTTCGCAACTCTAAATGCTACCTATAACTGATACTTCTAGGAATAGATCTCATTTCTCTTAGCATCCTCCGTGTCAATTTAGAGAGTCATTAGTAATCAGAATTAAAATTCAGTCTTTTGCTCGTACTTGTTACTCGGTATGGGTCACGTGTCTATTTTCCCCTAATATTTTACAAAATAAAGGTTTCTGTTGCCATTGTTGCCAAAATGTGTCATAAGTTTCTTTAAAGAAGAAATTCAGGGACTTTGATCATAAATAGGATTTTTATTGGCACTAGTCCTCTATGTGAAGCCTCTTAAATATAGCCAAATCAGTTTACGAATGAGACACAAAAGAAGGATTAATAAAGCACTGTAGTAAAAAACAGGATTTTGATTCTCTTGCACAATTTAGAAGCTATGTAACTAGGCAAGCCTCAACTGCTCTAACAGTTGGTTGCCCAACTGTGAAATAGAATAAGGTTACCATACCAGCTCTAACGTAGGGATCTCGGCCAGGTGATCCCCTGAAGTTTCATTCAGCTCTGTGATTCATGTTGTTAGTAAGTGTTCATTCTCCCTAAAATGTGTCCTCTCCTAAATTCTTTCTTCACTTTTTTCTTCACATCTGAGAGATCCTGTACCCAACAACATAATTATTCACCTTCAATACATATATAGTCGTTGTGTTTTGTTCGTATCTAACAGATTAGCTCTAAATTTATATCCCTTTCCTACATCCCTGGTGCCAAAGCAAAACTGCAACTTCCTGTTTTTTCTTCCATCTTGTTGCTTTTCTCTTCCTTCCTGATTGTATACAACCACAGACATTACAAAATAAATGTCATGGGTTTTTCTGTGTATTGCTGTGCCCAAGTCTAGTTTGAAAAAAATTAAGTATATATGCATGGAAGTTTGGAGACAAAGAACTCTGGTGTTTTGTTTTTTCTTATACTATTGCATGGAAAGAGTTTTCAGAATTCATCAGTCCAGCAAGGCTGCTTTGTTAGGTGCATCTGCACTGCCATTATTACCACTTCTTACTAGCCACTTACTTTCCTCACCTCTTCTTACTCTTCTCCTAACTAGGGGTTCACAAGCATTTATCTACAAAGGACACTGAGAAAAACCTTAAAATAGTGGTTTCCATAAAAATTTAATAGAAAAACAACATTGTGTTCTTGAGATTTTTGCTAATTGTTATTGGAGTTACTCTTTATTTAATTCAGCTGCATAATATCATGTGTGCTGGTTATATAAAACTTGATACCCTTTGGGGTTTAGTCATCTTAAAGTGGCAGCAAGAAGGAAGGCAGAGTGAACTAAATCAATAGGATTCATTTTTAAAAATTATTAAAATTGTCAGATCCAATTATGGTAATCAGCAATGAAATTTCATACTTTCTAGCCAGAATGTATATACGTGTTCAGATTAATACTCTCATATGTAAAATATGAATGAATTAACAAAAACAAACCTTTATAAAATCTGGCTAACATATTTCTAAGTGTTTAGAACAATATGAATAATGAATCCAAAGGATGTCAGATATAAGTTTGGTAGCAGTTCACTGGTATTGAGTCACTACAGTTCAGCCAGGAAAATTGATTCAATTCCTACAACAGTATGGATGTTTAAAAACCTATATCTCAATTATCTTAATGTATAAATAGACCTAACAGAACTTGCCTTCTCTCTACCCATAGAAACAGTATTAAAAGGAAAAGGCTGTAAAACACTTGGAAAGCTTAAAAAAGAATGCTTTATAAGCATGGTAACTATTATTTCAGACCTAAACCTTAAGAGTTTGTAAGTATTTCCAGATCTGCACATAGAGATTATTTACACAGGCACTTGCTGAATTTCAACACATTTTAAAAGCCTGTACAATAATTTGATCATATCTGCATAAATTTAACAAGCAATAAAAATGGAATTTAATCCTCTGGTGAAATAGCTACCCTCATAACCCCTCTGGTTTTTGACCAAAGAGCTTTTTTTGTCAGATGAACCACCAAGCTGAGAGATTTCTGAGGTCAGTACTTTTATTTGGATTGTAATTGTATCTTCTCTTTCTTCCTAGGCCATGGCTGTTATCTTCTCAAATTTTAGCATTATAACAACAGCTCTTCTATTCAGGATAGTGCTGAAGTAAGTAACTTGTTGTGAAAGCATATATCGTGCTTTAAAATGGCACAGCCTTGTTTCAAGTGATATACCCAGAGCACTGAACCCTCCAAATCCCAGGGCCAGGATTTTATTCTTAATTGGCTTTGTGTATTGGCGAGTTGCTTATCCCATCTGGAAAGTAGCTCCATTGCTAGCCTGTCTAAATCTCTATGATTCCATGTTTCAAATGTTTTTTTCTTGGCATTTAAAAAAAAAAAGATAAGTGACTGAGTTATAAGTATTTAATTTTTAGTGCTAGATTTTCAACAAAGAACTCATGAGGTATTTTTTCCTTGCAGGATCTTGATACACTAACAGGGAACTAAGAAGTTCCTAAGATTAATACATATTTGTTATTTGGAGTTTGAGATGATAAAGAGTGGCAAATTCTTTATTAAATTCCTTGAGATGAGTACATGGTGTAAGCTCTAACTAGCAGAGAATTTATATGAGAAATAGAGTCAGAATTACAATTAATGAAAATGATAGATTTTAAAACTTTTCAAAATGCTGTCACCAGTCTTTCCTATCTTCAGGAAGGCCTTTGAATAAAATCAACTTTTTGAAGTATATAGGCTCTGCTGCAAAACAAAGGCCAGAATATCCTAAGATGATACAGGATCTAGTCCCTTAACTCCAGTTTGATTTGTTACTTGATGATGATGATGGTGATGGTGATGGTGATGATGATGATGAAGAAAATAAAATTAACTTCTTGTTATATTTGTTGTGATTGTTTTTTTTTTTTAATTTTATATTTAATTTCTTGTTTCTCAGCGTACTATGTCATAGCATGTTTTTTCATGATTTATGGGTACAGGATGAATGGGTCGGTACATAGGCACTCAGTAAATATTTGTTGAATTCATGATGTCTTCAATATATAAATTACAGGGAATTCTTAAAAGATTTTCTTTTACCCTGAGGAAACATTCAATTTAATGGTTGATGTAAGAGATAGGAAAAAAATACACAGAGTCATGCTTCATGCTCTTGAGTCAAACTACTGGCCAACATGTCATACAATTCATACATGTCATACAATTTAAATGTTACGGTACAATGAAATTTGCTTTTGTGTCATATTCTTTATTTTATTTATGAATTGGGAAAATAGTTCAACTAGCAAGTTACAGAATGCTATTGCGAAAATATTTTGAAGTCTGAAGTCAACATGAAATTATTTAATAGGATAAAAATTTGGATTCTGAAAAAATATATGTAAGCAATAAAATTTTATATTAATTCCTGTGATAATTTTAAAATACACTGCCATAAAGAACAGAAGTTGGCTCTGACACATAATAAAATCTTCGCTATTTAATAAGGGAACAAAGGTCTCAAAAACATGCTTTTATAAAATGAACATTTTTTTCCTTTGAAATGACAGTTATTACTATACATGATATACTTAAGTTATTATATAATATATAACATATTATGTATGATGTCAAAATTACATCAGTTTAAAACTGAATTTACGAAAGAGAAGATATAAAGTATATTGTGTGACTCGAAGTTGGCCAGTAGTTTGACTCAAGAGCATGAAGCATGACTCTGAGGCTGAGATGAGGGGCCACTTGGAAAGGTCCTACCTACCCAGGACTGGTTCAGCTGCTGTGTATTCTAGTATCATAACTGCTCTGTAGGCAAAGGGAGGTTCTCAGCCAGGCAGTAATGAAAAAACACTTAAGGACTTTTCAGTGCCAAGCACTTTCTTCCCTATTTTGACTTGACCCCATGTTGACCCATGAGGCAATGTAGTTATTGTCCATTCATCAATAGAGTTGTTCCAAGCTGAGTCTATTCTTGGAGCCCAGAACCACTAAGCATTTTGCTGCATTTGGGTGGCTCCTTTTGACTATATAGGAGGGAGAGTATGGGGTGGACGTGGCTGAGGGCAGAGTGACCAATTTGAAATAATCTGCTCCTTTTCCAGCAGAGAGTACCACCACCCTGGGCAAAGGTGACTCTGTTAAACTGTTAAGCATTTAACAATTAAGAAAGTCAATGCTCTGTGTAACCAAATCCAAATCTGTACTGTAAATTTTACATGTTTGCTTTTAATACTATTATAATATTAATGGTATTATTGCTAGTGTTAATTATAACATTGTTAAAAACTAAAGTCCAAAAAATTTTTTTACAAATTTTACTTCTTAATATTCAGAGCAATAGTATTGATTCTTAGACATGTTTGCTTTGTGGTTACTGTCTCTCCATTTTGACTCCTTGGAAATTATTTATATTAAAGAAACAAGAAAAATGGTCTACTTTTTTATTTCAACAAGCACTGACTTAGCTCCCAGATTGGTCCTAATTTAACTGATTCACAGGTCAACACTGAAACTAGTCTAAATAGTAGAGCTAAAATAGGATAATCTAATAATTTTATAAAAATTACTTTTAAGTACTATTTATTATTACATTTCCAAATCATCCATGTTCTGTCTTGATTTTTTTGTTGGTGATATATGTTGTCTTCCCCACGCCCCCCATTTAATCTACTCTTTGTGAACCTTTTGCCCTTGGCAATAAAATTTTGACCTAAAAGTAGCAACTTGAGTTCTATCACATATTCTTAATTTGTTTGCCATAAGTAACTCATTTGTTATTTGGAACATTATAGCTCTTGTCTTATACTTGACTATAGCAGAGCCATCAAATATCCTTCCCATACAGCTGAAGAATATAAGACTACACAGGTAGGAAAAAAAGTCTAGTGACTAATGCAAGAATTACTTGGAAGAATTTGAAAGTGCAAAAGGATAAATATCACCATCCCAGGATATGTCTTATTGTCTTTTCTAGGGAAACCCCATGTGAATGTATAGATTTGTCCTTTGAAATATTGACACTGGTTCCAAGTAGAAACTGGTGGCAGGCATTATGCCTTAAGGCATTGCTGCTCTGCTCTTAAAGCTTGGCAAAGTTGTATGATCTTGTTTGCTTAGGCTTTAGGAAATAATATCAACCTGAACATTGAGATTTGGAGGCAAAAGATTACTAAGACCAGTACTTACTTTCACCTAAAGAATATATGTGTTTCTTTGATTTCTTCAAAGAGAAGCTATGGGGGAAAAAATTATTGAAAAACACATTTTGAAACATGCTGGTGTTTTGGAAGGTATGGTAGTTAAGTTACTCTCTAAACCAGCAAAAAAAAATGAAAGTGCCATTTAGTAGTACAAGCTTTTCTCCAAAATCGTTTGTTCACTTTCTATAATTTCTTGTTATTAATCTGCCCCTGGTCACTCTGTGCACTACTAAGATTTGTGTTATGTACCATTTTTTGAAAAAAATTACATCTTTACACTTATATTCATTATATTACATTATATTTACATTATATTCATTGTATTGGTTTGCGACCACCAAATATGGCAGAGAAGCTCTTATCAGACACAATTTAGACCTAATTGTGTGGGAAACTCAAAGTGGGAAATCATTTAAAAAAATATATGTACTTTAAACAGTTTTACTTAAGATATATAAGTGTCCATTCTTTTGCTGAAAAGCTAAGACTTTTCCTTTGAGTATGTATAGGGTTTGCTGATTGGAGTTCTTTTGCTGCTTTTTTGCTAGAATCTATATTATACATCATTTGTGATTTATGGTTTCAGTTTCTTTAAAATGGAGCAAGTCCTTTAAAATACTTTTATAGTAGTTTCTTCTAGAGTTTTATTCATTTCCTAGTCATAAAATAAGTTCGCCTATACCTAATTAGAAGGCAGTTTTTATCTTATGAGTGATTTATTTACCTTTAATTTTCCTAAAGCATTCATTCAACTTACTTTTTTCATAAAGACAGTAATCCTATCTTTCACTTATAATTTATCATTTAATAATCATTAAAATACATCATTACAGAAATGAGGTCACCTGGCAAAAACACATTTAGTAGCAAAGACTTTTTGTGAGCAGACAATTCACTTGAGTGCAGAGGCCCTCAGGTAGAGTAGCCTTCTAGCTGCAAGTGTTCTGAATGTTTTACTGGGGCAGTGGAGAGATCAGTTAAGTGAGTTTCTACTGTTGTATCCACCAAACTGAGGCATAAACTCTTCCATGCACTGTCAGTCATTTGTAAGTGCAGATCTTCAGGATCTGCAATTATCTTTACAGGATAATTTATTAAACTTTATTTTCCTGGTTGAAAATTTATTATTTTCAGCCCAATCTTTAAGAATTTTTACCTTCCCAAGAACATTACTTCGAATGAGTAATTATTTCCAGTAAGTACTATTTGGCTTGTTTGGGGCTTTGTTACCTTAGATTCTTTTTTTCTCAATGTCACTATTAGTGGAAATTCTATGGCTGTCAGAATTGAAAACTTCTAAAGGAACTATACGGATCATTGCCTCATTTGTCTTGATATACAATAACTGGTTATATAATGATTTTTATAAATTGGACACCCATTTTTCATCTGACTTTTTTGTTTCCATTCAATTTGCTTTCTACCACTCAGTGCACAGTAGCTGCACCTTCAGAAATGTATGTGACTTAAGTCACAGTTTCTGGCTTCATATCATAGGGCTATGCTAGCGCCATCACTAAGTGCTAGCTCTGGTTATTTGGGAGAGTACACACAAGAAGACATGATAGTGTACACAGGTGTACTGCTATCTAGGCTGGTCTTTTCATTTAACATTTTTATAGCATGAAGCTCTATGGAAGCATTGGTGAAATCAGACACATATCCTATACATATATATGCATTATGGGAACTCATAATTACTTAAGAGATGCATTTGTCCAAAAGGAAGATGTACAAAACCATGGCTTAGGTCCCTTCCTTGCTCTTTCATAAATGCATGACCTTCAGGAAGTCAGCTAACCACTCTGAACACTGTTTCCTCCCCTAGAACAGGAATTGCTTGACCCATAGTAGATGCTCAATAAATGTTAGTGAATTCTTGTCACTTGTATTTCTCACCTGTTTCTTTACACTTCTGCCTTTGCTTGTGTTATTTTCTCTCCCGCCCCATGTCCCTCTATTCATTTGACTAATTGATCTTCAGACTTGAAGATATCGTTCTCCCTAGAGGCCTCCCTCTCTACCCCAGCCTGAGTCAGTTACTCCTTTTACCTAAGTCGACGTTGTACATTCTTGCTGCTTTTGCATAGATTATTCCCTCTGCCTGGATATATATCACCACCTCCCTTTTCACGTGGCAAACTTAAGTTTATTTTTTATCTTTCAGCTCGTGTCATTTCTTCTTTGAAGCAATACCTGATTCAGTTTACAGATTCAAGTGTTCTTTCCTCAGTGTACCCCAATTGTTGCATGTGTCCCTTGTCACACATTATATTGTCATCATTTAGTTTCATGGCTTTGTCCCTATTAAAGTATAAATTCCTTGAGGATGGAGATCAAGTCTTTATCTCTCCAGGGCGCCTGGCACATAGTAACTGCTTATTAAATGTCTGTCGAGCTGAATGAATCCAAAAAAAAAAAAGGAAAAATAATAGTGCATGTCTTCTATATATCACAAGTTTGTTGTTAGGCAAAATAATTAAAGCGTTGTTAAGAATTTGTAAAATGAAACACTAAAAATAGTTTTTTCCCTTGCCTTATCAAACAGTATTTGACTGTGAAATGCTTTATGATTAGGTCATGGTTCTGGGAGCTAGGTTCCTCCTTAAATCTTTTTTGGGTCATGGATACCTTTGAAATTTGACAGAGCTTTCAGGGGTTTTCTGGAGGTAGGGGGAGGGCTGAGAATTCGCCTATAGAGAAGATTTGGCACACACTGCAAGGATTCGGGGATATCTGAAGTTCGTCCCATTCTGGTTCATAGGAACCAGGTTGAGAATCTCTACTACAACTTGCTTCATAGTGAGATAAAAAGTTATTGCTCCAAAGGTTCAAGATCTGCTCTGGAAGTAGAAAGGAGGCTTAGTTAAACCTGTAGCTAAAAGAAAACTTACAATGAGGAGAAGTGACTGAATGGAATTAAGGGACAATTATAAAAGTGAATAAAAGTATCAAGTTTAAGAAGCAGAGACACTAACATGTTTCTTTTGAACTTGAATTGAGAATCCTAGCAAAAACGGATACAGTTCATTCAATAGAGTACTCAAGTGTGTTTTTGAGTTTTCAGTTATAAACAGTTGATGTGGAAGGGGGGAGAAAACCAATAGTAAAATCTTATTTTTCATCTTTGAACAGGAGACATCTAAACTGGATACAGTGGGCTTCTCTCCTGATTCTGTTTTTATCTATTGTGTCCCTCACTGCTGGGACTGAAACTTCACAGCATAACCTGGCAGGACATGGGTTTCATCATGATGCCTTCTTCAGCCCTTCTAATTCCTGCCTTCTTTTCAGAAGTGAGTGTCCCAGAAGAGATAATTGCACAGCAAAGGAGTGGACTTTTATTGATGCTAAGTGGAACACCACAGCCAGGGTTTTCAGTCACATCCGTCTTGGCTTGGGCCATATTCTCATTATAGTCCAGTGTTTTACTTCTTCAATGGCCAATATCTATAATGAAAAGATACTGAAGGAAGGGAACCAGCTCACTGAAAGCATCTTCATACAGAACAGCAAACTCTATTTCTTTGGCATACTTTTTAATGGGCTGACTCTGGGCCTTCAGAGCAGTAACCGTGATCAGATTAAGAACTGCGGGTTCTTTTATGGCCACAATGCATTTTCAGCAGCACTTATTTTTGTAACTGCATTCCAGGGCCTCTCAGTGGCTTTTATTCTGAAGTTCCTGGACAACATGTTCCATGTGTTGATGGCCCAGGTCACCACTGTCATCATCACAACAGTGTCTGTCCTGGTATTTGACTTTCAACCCTCCCTGGAGTTTTTCTTAGAAGCCCCGTCAGTTCTTCTTTCCATATTTATTTATAATGCCAGCAAGACTCAAGATAAGGAATTTGCACCTAGGCAAGAAAGGATCCGAGATCTAAGCGGCCGACTTTGGGAGCGCTCAAGTGGGGTAAGTTTGTGAGGATACTGCTTTTTTGCTTGTTCTTCCCCAATTCAAAGAATTGTTATACAAGAAAAGAAATAGATTAGTGCAGATTTATCAAAGGAGGTATTGGATCTCTGTGACTTTTTAAAAATTATTCAACAAACACTCATTGGACTCCTTATGTGTACAAGAGTTCCTGATAATGTTGCCAGGGGTCCAAAAGTATAAATCACAGTCAAGGATTTTATGTGCTAGTCACATCAGAATATTACATAGTCACAGAGCCAGAAGATGCCTCACAGGTTATCCTGTCCTGTTTCCCTAGTTTTACAAGTGAAGAAACAGACTCTGAGAGGCTAAATGGTTTACAGATTGTGAGTGAAAGAACTGGTACTAAACCCTTGAGGTCTGACTCCTAGTTCATTACTCTTTCCGCTCCACCATAGTTGGGAAAATAAGCCTCATTCATAAGGAAAATTGATCTTCAACATTAGTAAATCTTATTAAACGTTAAGTATGAAGCCTGACTCCTTAATTTCCCCTGTGGTTATTCATAAACCACAGTGTGTCAGATAGGGGCATTTATCTCATTAAGTCGATGGTTTTCAGAGGATTTCACAAGAAAATATTTTCAAGAAAAGTACTTATGCGAGTATTCTGAATAAGTAGCATTTCACCAGTTGCTTGTTATTGTTTTAGGGGGATTTGTTGGTCATGTTATTAGCAAATTAGTAATGATCTCTTGGAGATTCAAGTAAGGAGTTGGATATTTGTTGTAAATAAAGGATGAAATAGATTCCTCTGTGTAGCTTTAAATTTAAAATTTTCATGAACACGTAAAATATGAAATATTTTACACAATGAACATTTTATTCTTTGGGAAAATTAATCTATTTCTTAGAGTTCATGGCAGAACTTCTCAGTAATTTCTCTGAAGTGGTGATGCAACAGATTCTTAGGATGAAAAACATTAGAAGCTTGTGTCCTAAATGCCCTGATCTCAGCCAGAGTATAGGTTCAAAAGTACTGTATTCTTTTTCCAGTTGTCTGATAATACTGCTTGTCCTACTTTTTAGGTAAAAGAATATCAATTTAGATAACAAGGCCTCATTGTATTTCTCCAATCTTTAGTCATTTGCCTTCAAGACCAGCAGAGGGTGCTCCTTACTTTGCTCATGTTAACTTTGAGATTCAAGTACTGAGATGCATTTCGGTTTTTCATGATCTCATTATATGTCTAAAATTAACTTTCCAAGAACGTAAGTATTTATTTAATTTCATTTGACCAGATTATAGTTTAATGAAATAAAATTCATGACTTATTAGTAAGATTTCTCCTTGCTAATCAGTAAAAATGCTACATCTCTAGTTTTGCTTTAATTAATTACTGATTTCATGTTTTCTTTTAGGATGGAGAAGAACTGGAAAGACTTACCAAACCGAAGAATGCCATTGAGTCAGATGAAGATACTTTATAATTGGTAACAAAATAGTTGGCAAATCTCACAACCTTATTTTCACATTTTCAGCATATGTGGCATTCATCTTTTGACTTTGATAAGCCAACAACATTTCCAAAGTTTAACACTCTTTGCATATATCTAACTGCTCCCTAAACAGTTCTATCCAAGGCTGAGGGTACCCAAAAGCTAAAAAGGTCTAAGAACTGACATAGGAATAATAGTATAGAGACTACATAAATGGCCCAGTACTTGATAAGTCAACAAAGTATCTTCACAGATTATTTTCCTTGTCGTCCAAGGTTCCAAAAACCTTATAATCATGTTTACCATACCCCATAAATATACAAATACAGATCAGTTTGACAGATACTCATAATTATGTAGTTCTACTCTCTCTGCTAGTCTTCCCTTTTTTATCATCATAAATATTAAACAGGTTGTGCCTTGAATTTTGAGGCCCTGGAGGTACACATTTTTCCGTTAAAAAAGCAACACGACTTTCTAAAAAATTTGGTTGAAGGACCATCCTCTTTGGCTACAACGTTGATTTGAGGTCACTGTAGTCTCTGCTGAATGTTTTGATGAAGGAGCAATTTTTCAGAAACAAAATCTCAGAATTTTTATTTTTTTAGGAATTCATAGGGAATTTGATTTTTAGTATTATCTTTCAATGTTTTTCTATACAAATAAGCTTCCACTTAGGAGAAAATTGGTTCCCAGTCACCACAGTTATCACTTGTATTTTAAATCATTTAAACGGGCCATGGTGGGTTTCTTTCTCCTCAGATTGACCTCACGACTCTTGGATTTTTATGTTTTAAAGAACTAGGAGGAAGCTATTTCATTTTATTAGCTATTAATCAGACCTTATGATAATTATATATCTTATCTTGTTTTTAAGAGTTGAGACATTGGCTTCAGAATCACAGCAGGTTGTCAGTAAGACTAATGTCTAAGAGTTCCTTTTGAAAGGGTTATTTAGCAAACAAATGACTTTATTGAAGTATGAATAGTATTTAAAAAGAGAAAGGCCAATGATAATCACTTTATAATAATATTTCACACTTCAAGTACATGGTATTTTTCAATATATTTTTGCATGCAGCTAATTGACTCTGAGGTATTGAAGTCAAATGACAGATAATTTAAAAGTGAGAAAACAAGTGATTTGCCCAACGTCATGCAGCTGGATGGTAATAGGACAAGAATTGGCTTTACCTGTCAGACCTGTATGTTTACAGAGCAGTACACTGTAAATGTGAGTTAAGATGTCATTCTCATGCAATTGGTTCATTTCTTCTCTTCTTTCCTCTAATTTTCATACAGATGAACATAAGATAATATTGTTATATAACCCATCTGATGTGCAGAATAATATGACTTAGCAAGAGTTAGTGGAAATTTGTAAATAAAATAATTATTAAACATATATCTTGTGTCGCTACTCTGTCATATGAGATGGGATGTGGAGTACTTTTAATTTCAAAAAATGAAGTGAGAGTGAGGCAGAAATCTAAACAACTTTTAAAACATTTTCTTTCAGTAAATCTTGACTTTAGAGAATAGCAAAACTATCCACCTTATCATAGACTGTCCCACCAGAGTTGTGAAACAGGAAGATTACATCACTATGGCAATTAATTTTAAAGGTAAGGAAAATCAGATATAGGAAAACCTCACTTTTAGGAAATTAAGCATACCAGAACATTTATCTTACAGAACAGGTAAAAGTACAATATTCTTTGCAAAGGTATTGCCTACAGGAATACATTAAATGACAGATTCTACTAGTCCATGGAGTTCGATTTTCTTATTTACAATTACTTTATTTTCGCTCACCTTTTCAGAAAGCATTTTTTCCCAAAGTAGGGTTTACCTGTATTAACTTACCAATAAGAGAGAAAAAGTTGTAGCTGTAGGTAAAATGGGAAGTTCTGATCTAGGTGCACTGGAGTACTTTGTGGGCACTATTTTAAAGAGAGAAAAACTGGAAGGTCTAGAAACCATATTCTATCGTCTTATGTGCTCTGGAAGTCAAGTGTGTAACCCTGGTAGAACAATTGTCATGTGGAAAAGAAGTAGATTTCTTTCCTATTCTAAGGAACCAAACTACAATAAAAGTTATAGGATGACAGTTATTCTTTCCTTATAAGGAAGACTCTTCCTGAAAAATGATACTTTCAACAGTAGAAAAGGCCTTTCTGAAGAGTAGTAGAGAATAGTAGTAAATTCTCTATCACTGAATTTTTTAGGGGGAGATTCTGTTATCAGAATGTTTTAGAAGGGATTCTTGCCTTGGTATAGAAGTTGGACTAAGTGATTTCTAAAATCCCTTCCTATTTTTAGATTCTCTCCTAAATAGTTATAACCTACAAGTAATGTACTAAATCTGTTTCCTTTAGTTTGAATACACTTTGGTTGGACCACAAGTGTGGCCTGCAGTGATCTGGTTCCAGTTCTGTCATTGGTCTTAGAACCAAACTTCTCTCTAGCAATGTGCCTAATCTTGAGAGAAAGCAGGATGTGGCTTATAGAGGGAAAGATAGCTTCATCCCAGAATTTCATGGGCTGAAGCTGCATCCTTCTGCCACAGTGTTTCAAGATCCATGTGCAGAGAAAACACACAGGGCAAAATTACTTTGTTTATAACTCTTAAGGCTTTTTGTCTCTGAATCCCCTGTAGAAGCCCTGTTGCTTGTGGGCAGGATTAGACTACATGGAGCTGCAGCGACTCCTTTTGCCCTTCTACAGGCCAAAAAGACTTGATGAAACACTGCCCAGGTCATCTTTGGCAACTTTCCCTTTTACCTATGTCCTGATTTTCCCCACAAACTTACTATTCCAGTGTGAAGAAGAGGCAGAGAAAGTCAAACTCAAAGAAAAGAGAGTTATTTTCCTTCTCTAAAGCCTAGAGCCAACTTTCTGAAAATGAAAGAAAAAAAAAATTCTCACAGATCTCAGTGTTGACCTTTTTTCTACTTTACAGTTATTTAAATACATACAAATATGAAGTATAAACTTGCCGTTTCTATACGAAAATCAAAACAAATTTACAAATGAAATACAAGCAAAGCCATAAGTCCAATAAATGTTTATTCAAAATATGAATTTAGTGAGTGATATCTTGCTCAAATAGAATCACAGTAAATCCTCAAACAGATCTGCAGAACTTCTGTCCTCACTTGCTATTTCGCTTGCTTTAAGCACCATCCTGTCTTTACCAAGATAACCGAAACCTGCTGACATTATGAGTAATGCATTTAATCCTGCTGGGGTTTATCAACCCACATCTCTTAACAATCCCATACCAATGTGGTGGGGGTCAAGCTGCCAACGCCCATTGGCCTCATTGCCCTGAAAGATTTTTCAATCATTAGCTTTATGTGTTCTCTGAAGTTTTGAAAGAACTCACCACCAATAAAATTTCCTAGGCTTGGCACTTTTTTCAGGTGTACTTGTTTTTTTTCCGCCCACAATATTCTCTATTTCCTCCTTATCCTCTTCTTAGTTCACTCTAGATCATTTATATTTTGCTAAGAAATTAACCATCTAGATTTTCAAATTTATTTGCATAGGAATTTATGAATCATTCTCATAATTTTTTAAAATTTATTCTTTTAATGTAGTTCTATTTCCTTTCTCATTTTAAATTTTGTGTATGAGTGGTTTATTTGTTTTTAAAAATATGTTAATGTGCAATTTTCAATTACCTAAAGTTTTGTTCTTTTTCCAACTAATCTACTTCAAATGCATTTATTTTGTTTCTTGTTTGTGAGTAAACATGTTTATAACTGGTAGAAAAATTCCTTGGAGTAAGTACACCTTAGGCTAATCCCAAAAGACATTAAAATATAGCATTATCATTATTTTTCTAACCTGTTTTGAGCCAAGGATAGTATGATTGAGGTTTTTATTCACATTTTTCTTCATTTCTAGTTTTCATACACTTGGTTACAAAATGAGATCTGTACTCTTTCTATTGTTATTTGCATGTGTTTATTATTAGGTATAATTTGGTTCATCCTTTAGTCTGCAATAACTTGAGAAATTCAATATTGGTTCAGTAGTTTCAACCAGTCTGAAAGTTCTTTCTAGTCTTTGAGATTTATTACACTTACATTTCCAGTTTGTTTCATTACTTGTAGTTACTTTTATATTTTTAAAAGCGAACTTAGGACTTTGTTTACAAATGTATCAACCTCAAAAATTAAAATACAGTCATTGGACACAGTTCACTGAAAGGTGAGGAATTCAGGATATTACGTTTCTTCCCAACTCCCAGTTGCTCTTAATAAGTTCTGAGAATTTTATCTTGGTCTGCTTCACTGTATTGCATCTATTTTAAGACTCATAGTTTGCATGTTACCATCTCCAAAACAGGGATGTTTTAAGAAATGACATGTTACAATAACTGCTGCCTGTGGCAGTAATAGTGAAGCTGTCTTTGCTAGCATGTGTAGGCATTTGGTTTGACTGGATAACTACAACTTCTTGACATTTCAGTCAACAAACCACTTAAGAACCATTTGAGAAAAGGATAAGAGTCCTGGTTGTTGTCTGAAAATCTTTCGTTGGTACTTCCTGGTAAGATCAAGAATGTGTCAGCAAATTTTACAAATGATTGCCAATAGTTTGGAAGAAAACCCTGGAAACAGCAGAGAAACTCTTAAGAAATGCTGCATCATCATCATTTCTCTCAGTAGAGCAGAGAAGTGTTCTGTGGAAAACCTCAGACATCTACACAGTACATCAAAAAGTGGTTCAGAAGATTCTGTCTCAAAATGGGGGATGTTTTAGAACTAGCTTAACTAACTTAGTTTCCCTTTTTATGTAATCAGAGCTTGCTATATATATGTATGTATGTATATAAGTGTGTGTGCGTGTATATATATATATGTACATATATATAATCTTTAAGACCTCTTTAAATAAAAAATAAAAATTCTAATTGATAAAAAAGTAATACATTTACTTGACAGTGTTCTTTCTTAGTGGGACATAAAATAGTGGCACCTCTTAGATTTGATGCAGTGGTAGATACGGCAAAATTTGGAAGTTAATTTTTAAAATGTGTCTATAATGTGCCTTTTCTTTCAAGAATTCATACTTTACCTTTTAGTTTGTAATTCCAATTATCACAACTAATTAAACTTGTTTGTGATGTAACTTCCTCATTCATAACTTTTTAATTCTAATTCATCTTTCAGCTGAGAGCTGTCTTAAAAAATATTTTTCTCTTCTGAAAGGGTTTTAGCTGATATACTTTATGAGGTTTTGTATATTTTTTAGCATCTAAAAGCTATTTACTAACTCAATTTTTTCTAGTCATATTGTTCAAAACAGTTTTGCATTTTTTATTACATTCTATAGGCATTTAATATAAATGACAGCTTGTCTGGAAAATAGTTCTTAAGTCACCTCTTTTTTTAAATTTAGTGTTGCCTAGAATTTAAATGTTTTCTTGCTATATGTGTGTGTATGTATGTGTGTATGTATTTATATGTGTGTATATCTATATCTTTGTATAGATAGATTTATTTACCCCTTTGTAGGTGAGCAATTTTTTAAGCCTAGGTACATGAATTTTTTTTATATATATCCTTTTAAGATTTCCATGTACTCATCTTTAAGCAAAGTTTAATATTCTATTTGGGCCCGATATTTGCCACAAAATAGTGTAGATAGGATCTCACTTACCTAATTAATTATTTTAAACTTGAACCCTGAATGCCATCTTTGAAGTTCTGCTAAAGGTCTAGAAGCCACTTCAAGGAGGTTGAAGAGAAGCCGGGACCATAGAAAATTAAAATAAGGAAACTTTCTAGGTGTGTATTTTTCCTCTGTATTGATTGAAACTCCTGCTTTGAAGGCCAGTTCCACAAAGATAGGGGTAATACTGTCTCCTGTTTATGAAGAGGTATAACTTGAGTTTTAGTTTTTTCCTCTATTTTACATTGAATCCCCTGCTTTTGTAAAAAGGTTAAGTGAAGTATCTTGAGAGCAGCACACAAGCTTTCTCTACAGCTGTGAAATTGGCTACTAGAATTTTAATATTGTATGCTATGTATACTTACATAAACTATTTTACTATTTCGTATTTTGTTACTTATATGTAAAATTTACCCACGCCACCCTACGAAGATTTCCCAAATTCACATATTTGAAAAGACTCACCAGATTCCACAGAGCACACGCACATAAGACTTGTATTTAAGTGCAAAGGATACAGTGTAGCAAGAAAAGGAGCATGCAGATACTGAGGACCAAGACAGATCCCATGCCTAAGCTTCCTTATTTGACCACGCCCCACGCCATCTCCACTGTCTCCAGCCTGAACTATCAAGATCTTCATAAAGATCTTAATATGAAGATCTAGTTATGCCACTGTGGTCATGTAATCAATCAGGTTTATTTAATCTATTAGGCCAGGTGGGAACCATCATTAAAGAAACTGACCCTGGGGATCATCAAGGTAGTTTCAGACTTTAAATGGCACATCATAAATCAAACTGCCCTTATCTTAGCCAAGAGTCAAAAACTAGACATCCTCATATATCCAGAAGTAAAGATAGAAATTTCGATTTTGGGGAAAGAAAGTGAGACTTGCTTCCCGGGATTGGCAATCTTCCAGAAGTGGTTTGCTGAGCTATTCACTACCTCTCACCTTCAAGGATTTCCTTTTGTATTGTAGCTATCAAAAAAGAGTGGCACCTTCAACATATCAGTTATACCTAATCAGTTATAGCCGCCTGTGAGCCATAATGGATCATGAGGGGCCTGGGAAAGGGAGAAAGGGCCATAAGAAAGAAAAGGGATGCTTATGGGGAGGAGGAAAACCAAAGAAAATTTTGCCCAGGACCAGTTTTATCTACTTAAAAATCACCCATCCTTTCACCCAGCCTCCTTGGCACATGTATCAACCCATGGATGGAAGACCATTCTTTTGCTTTCTAGAAAGTACTAATATTTAAGGTTTCTGCAGTCTGCCAGGGACAGCCCAATGTGTCCAGCGCCAAAATATCAGGTGATGCTTGTAGTTACCAAATTAGGAAGTTGTGTTTAAGAGCATGCATATTCTTTGTTGGAGCAACTCATACGTTCTTGATGCTCACAATTTTTGCCAACCCGAATGTCCATGGAAGCTCCAGTCTGGCTGTAAGAAGATGATGAGGTTTCTGCGTGTTAGAGGTGAGGACCTCATTGATCTCAGCCACAGCAGTGCACTACACTGGGAAGAATTCAGTGAAGTTATTTAATACTTTTACCATCCCGTAACAATTTGGAACTGAATTCTGAACTGAAAAGTCTGGATTCTGTGAGAATTTAACACTACTTAGATCACAGGAAACCTCTGAACTTAGCATTCTACTCTCTAAAAGGTAAGAAAGATTCATAAATGTCATTGAGTTAGACAGAAACTTGGATATCTAGTCCTACTCTCTCATTGGAGATGAGAAACTGAGCCCCAGAGGTAAAGTGACTCATCTTGGGTCACACAGGTAAGTATATGGCAGGACAAGAACCAGCAGTTTCCTCACGTCCAGGGGCCTTTTTAAGACACCCATTGAATTATGTTTCAACTGGCCCTTTGCCCCTTACTACCTGTAGTATAAGTGCCTAACAATTAGCTTTTTTGATTGTAATGTAAATGCTTGACAATAACTTTTGCTTGCCAAGGCATCCATTTCGAAGACATTCATCTTGAATAAACATATTGCAAATTATATAGCTAAGAGCCAGCTGCCCACCCATGAAGTTCCCCTTTTAAAAAGGTCTGGGTGACCTAGATAACTGACCCCTTGAGCCACCTCTCTTCCTCCTTCCTGCACTTTAATTCCTGCACTTCCGTTTTAAATTCTCCAACAGTGAACCCACAAAATGCTAGACACCCTACTCTCTACCCCAGTAAAGTCAGAACCTCTGGTTTGCAAGCTCTCTGTACCTGTGAACTCTCTGCGTACCCTCCAGCACCTGTGAATAATGAACCTTGTTTTCTTCAAAGTTCCCTGACGGTTGATGCCGAGGTGCATCTTACAATCATAATAAGAACCACAAGGGCTGATGCAGCTACAACACTGGCTCTGGTCAGGGAAATGTCTACAGGGGCTGCCACAGTAGTGTGGGCCCAGGTGAGTGCCTCAGGCATTCCTAGCAGATAGCATCGCTAGCATAGGCTGAGATCAACACGAAATACCACCATCACCTATATTCTGGAGCACTCAATAACATGTACAAAACTAAGAGAGAGTCTAGCATTGGGAGCTTTGCACCAACTCAGAGAACTAAAAGAATTTGGTTAGCATTTTTGTCATGAAATTAAGAGTACTCACAAACCACACATCACTATCTGCATGTCCCAAACCATTAAGTACAGAGCAGCCAAGTAGAAAGGAAGACAGGAAAGCAGTCAGCAGGGAAAGGGGAGTAGCAGTGGCAGAGAAATAGATAGAGGTTTTTTCAAGAGACTTCCCTTTATCTGTAATCTCCATACGTTACTGAGTCCTGACATCATCAGTCAGGGCCAGCTAAGACCATCAGTCACCCTGGTCTTTAGCTGTTTTTGTTCTTAAGGCTCTAGAAGTTGAGAAGGTATGAACTTCATTATTAACTATACTCCAGAATATGAGATCAGTTTGGGCTCTACTGACTCTACCGCATCTGAACCGCCTGCCTCTGTAGCAGGGGAAGGGTCTCTCTGCTGAATTAATATTCACTTCAGAGCCCTGGGATTTCTCTGGTGAAACACAATTCTTGGAAATTCACAGAAGGAGATTGTGACAACCAGAACTTTGGCAAGGCCATGTCCTTTCCAGAGTCTTCCAGAATTCTCTAACTGAACTGGGCACTTTTCTTTTTAAATACCAGAATTCCACAATCTTCCTCCAAACTATATTGTCTTTGTTCCTTGCCACCTTTTTTGTTGTTGTTGCTCTTGCTTTGAAGTAAATGCCTTTATAGAAAAACAATTACCAGATTTCAAATGTTCTGATCTATACCGTTTTAAGAGAGATTCGGGTTACCTAATTCTCTAATTCTCCCATTTGCTGGAATACACTTTGTATTTTACCAGATTATAGGATTTGAGGACATTTACCCATAGCGTCTTCCTCTGAAGGTACTTGGGTTCTTTGGCTGAGCATTGGCTTATTCTACAGTGCTCCAAATGATGCATGACACCTCGGGCCTCTCATTAGGGGAAGGAAAATTCAGAGGCATTGCTAATTATTATCTCAGTGACAGTGAAACTGGAAGAATGATTGAAAAGGAATCTGAGGTTATGATAAAGTATTGTCTTTCTTTAGTTGCAAGAGCTGGAACCTTATTGATATTATTCCATAAGTAAATGTCCTATTATTTCTATGTAATTAATTTCCTTGGGAGATGATACTCCCTCATTATTATAGTTCCTGAAACTTGAGACTATTTGGGCCCCTTACTTAGAAATCATCCTTGCATAATTCCTGCAATGGTAAAGAAACCCATTTTTATTGGCAATTTTAAACTGTGCTTCATTTTGATATAAATTTAAGAGCAATATGCATCAATATGGCTTTCCCAACTACACTTGTCAAGCAACTAATGCAGACTGTCCTAGAAGGAGAGGGAAGGAAAGCTCTCCACCATGGGAGAAGATGGATTGGAAACATAATTTACACCATAAGAGAACTGTGTTCTCAAGTCACTTGAACTTTCTGGACCTCAGTTACCTTTAAAACAGGTAAAAATGAATGGTCGTCATGAAGAATGAGGGGCAAAACAAGATTTCTCAAGCTTATTGAGTCACAAATTCCAGTTTTCTATTACAAAGTTGAGACGATGTAAAGACAAATTTGTGCAAATAAGCACAGTAAATAGCTAATAGACACGTGTAGTTTGAATGCAGTTATTAATATCTGTAGATCATTAGAGTTAATAGCCAATACAAAGATTATCTGAAGAATTCGTTATTAACAACAGTGGCAAAAAATAAGCATCTGCATTACTGATACAGGCTGGCACTATCAGGATGCCACTGCCTAGAAATCCGACTGCCTGCCTCAGGACAACCTCGTAGATATTAGTCGGTAATGTTACTTGGTAGTTGTTTGCTGCAAAAAGAAGGATAAGAAAAAAGGAAAGAGGTGAGAGAGGGAGGGAGGAAGGGAGGATATTTAATTTACGTGCCATATACAAAAAAATAAATGCTCTTTTTTTAATGACAAGGATTATATTTTGTACTTCCGCTACAATTTTATCCACTGTGATTTAGTAACATTTGCCTTTGTAAACACAAAAAATCTCCTGGATATACTATTCTTCTTTATCATTTTATTTTATAAGGTCCAGTATGGGAATAGGCCTATTAACACGTAAATACAAGGGGTCAAGGTCTTCCATGTCAGGAAATCCATGGTACCTGCTAGAACTCTGGCAGTATCACTTCTAGCTACAGTGCCAGAATCTGGTGGTGATTTAAGGATTCCTTTTCCCTGTTCTATCTCTGAAAAGATAATGAAGACAACAAAAATAGGGCAGGAAGTGGTTATGATAGCAAAGCTGGGCTAGGTACTTTCCTTGGCTTTGATAGACAATATCACTGGACTCCTGTAGTATCGAGCTTCATGAAAGAAACTAACACTACAAAGCAGAGTAGTCTTAATTATTTTTAGACTGACATTTCAAAAATGGTTAAGAAGCTATCTATTCTGTCTGTTCCATCTATTCAGATGTCTCCTGAAAACATGTACTGTGACCTTTAATTGTCTTTAACAATCATAGTTTTTACTTACCAATTAATATTAAAAAAGTAAGAGAGGTATAAATTCTTATCCTACAGAATTTTGTATTCTAAATCATGTCCATTGTATAAGAAAAGTAAAAGTAAAATATCCATGAGGAATATGGCAGAGGGAATGCAGTTAGCATTAATATGATGGCTAGGTGGAGGGCCAGGGGAAGGAAGGAGCAATTGGGAGGATCATTTATGAACTACATAGATGTCTAACCAATGTACTGTATACTTGAAACTAATTTAAATAAATAAATTTAAAATAAAAAAAAGTAAAATATCCATTTTCAGTACCATTATTCAGGACCAGGTCCCTTCTAGTTAGAGAAACAAACAATTTTTTCAAACATCTTTATGACTTAAGGCTTCAATAACAACTCACGAGTAGGCGAAAATTTGCTATTTATTTAATCTTAGAAGAACACTGAAGGGAAAGGAGGGGAACGTCAGCAGTGTGGATGTAGGCAGAACTCCTTTACATAGCTGGCCACATGTGGCTTTAACAGCTTCAGGGGAAACCGGCCGGGGTTAAGGTTACGTATTTCTGTTCAGTAAGGGTATCCATGGTGGTAACCCTCGTGATGATGGTAGTCATCCTGGTAACCCTCTGGGTATCCTCGGTGGTAACTATGGTAACCATAGCCTGCATACTCATCCTCCGGGCAGCGCATCCCCAGTGACTGCTGAATGGCCATTTCCTGTCTCCGAAGTTGCATCGAGTCAATTAAATCATACACAATCACCATGGACCACATTGGGGAAGGATACCAGGATTTTACATTTCCATCTTTTCCAACTAGAAGCATGGAGAAGTACTCTGGGCTCACTTGAAAATAGTTACGTATATCTTTCACCAAATGAGCTGGTACGTCTTCTCGCTCAACAACAGAGCTCCCTAGAATAGATTTAGAAAGAAATGTTAGTGGATTAAAAAGTCAGCAATCAGGAAGACATCAAAGTGAGAAGAAATCACTGTGAGAATGAGGAGAGGACTCATGAGTCTATTATCTTTAGCTCAAAATCCAATTTTAAAAGTTTGCTGGGTTTTTTTTTTACTAGAAATTAAATGTCCCTGCATTTCTGCAATATTATTAGTGTCAAATTTGAGGGACATGATATCTCTTTTATAGGAATGTTACAAAATATAAAACCAGTCCTTTAATTTAATTCTGACAAGATCAATTTATTTAAAATTTTTCACTAAAAAAGATTATATATTTTTTATATTTCTACATTTATTTCCAATTAGCTTAGCTAATTCTTTGCAATACAGTTTTCCTTTCGATGCTTTTTTTTATTATTTTAACAACAAATTGCTTTTTTCATTGTCAGAAGTGAAAAAATAGCAATTATGTAAGCTCTGGATAAATGTATTTAAATTATTATGATTAGTGAAAAGAAGAAAGGGGGAAGAGGAAAGGAGCCGAAACTGTCTGGCATTGTGCCCAAATTTTATACATGTTATGTAGATAAATGTAAAGAGATTGATCTTGGAAGGAAGGACTGAATTTGCCTTCTGAAACCTTTAGTCACTAGTCATTTTCTTTCAGCATCTTGGAGCCTTTTAGCATATGTCCTCATCTGTTGACAGAGAATCAATAAGATATAATCTATAGGCCTTATAATACCATTGTGAGAATTAAATGAGATAACAGATGAAAACGCTTTGTAAACCATAAAGCCTTATGCAAACAAAAAGTATTAGTTAAGAAAGTGGATATTTTTACTGTCATTTACGAATGATTTTATGTTAAAAACAATCTTAGTGCTTGTACTCCACTTCCACTTCCTCTAAACACATACTGTGTGTGTACGCACACACACATACATCTGTGTGTGCGCAGGAGGTAAGGAGGATTCAGTGAACTTTTCACCTAAGAAGTCCACCCATTGCTTTCATATAGTCTAATATAATTTAACAGAATAGTAGATCATACTGTTATAAAATAACACTATACCGTTAATCGGGAACAGTTCTAACACTCCCCCAACTTCCTCTCCAACGCCTAAGAGCTTCAGAATTGTTATGTGGCGCAGACCTGGGAGAAAAAAGAAAGCCATAGAATTAGGGGAGAGGATTCTAAGCCATCTTTTACTTGCAAAGACCAGTGTCTGACAATCGAAAATCTCTTAAGTTTAAAAAGAATATAGAACATAACCTAATTAGACAGAATAATCCATTTTCAAAATTTTCCATAAGAAAATACTTAAATACTTTTCAAACCCTGAAGAAGATCAATTGCAGATTTGGGGGGAGGTTTTTTTTTTTCTTTTTGGTAGACTGAAATAGAAAAATTTGCTTTTAAACTGTGATTCTCACTCAAATGACAAAAAAATGAAGTCATCAAAACATTTAAATATCTCAGATCATCTAAACGGATCAGTGTTTTGAAAAAAAGGCACATAAGCTAACATAGACAACTTTCAAAGAAAAGACTACAGACTCCGTCCATTGTAATTGGTAATTCTGGCTTCCTCAAACAAAGTTTGTCAGCTTAAAGGGCAGGTTCTGAATCTTAGAGGATTCAGAGGAGTAACACTTAGGCAAGCACAGTTAGTTTCCTTCCCACTGTCAGCTAAAGTTTCAGGAAAGGAGAGAGGTCATGCCTTGGTAGCTCCTTGGAATTCTTTTGAAGATGAAGGGCACATGAAGGGATTCAGGCTGATAAGGGGGCTGTCAATTCATCCTATCAAGTTTTCATGTTTTAGACAAAACCCCAGCCTAGATAAGGTATTAACTTGAAACCAATAACATGAATATTGATGGTATTTATTGCCCAGGGGAGAAATTGAAAGCCACCATGGGAGGGCTCTCTTAAGGAATAGCTTAACGCAAAAATGCTATTCAAAAAAAATTTTTTTTAATTGTGTTCTTTACTCTTCTCTCAGAGAAGTGAAACATTCTGTTCTACATGTGTTGAGTCATGTTTTCAAAAGGAAAGATCATGAATTTAATTATTCCTGGAAAACATGACTTGTCCACATTTCCTGTATGCTGTGAATAAAAGAGTTAGCTTACACTAATATGACTTAAGCTCTGTGTGCAGAGATTAAAAACACCACCTAATAGCTGCTGCAAAAACATCTTTAGAAAATTGACAAGTCATGATTTTATTTATATTCTTATTGTGAAGAGTCATTAACTGCTCTAAGCACTTCTGTCTTACCTAGCACCAGTGGTGGCTATAAATAATTTAAAAAATGTTTAAGAATAGTGCCTCAGTCAAATCTTATATATTAAATTATTAACCTTAATAATGAGTATAAATAAAAATTCATAAATCTTTTAATTGTTCTTGCTGTTATAAGCCTGACCTTGTTTTCTGCCTCCTTTTGAGTTATTTCACATCTTAAAACTGAGATGTGTTTATAATTTATAGATATTGGTACATAGCAAGAACCCAGGTTCTGTTAACAACTCCCTCTCCCCCCATTATAAATCAAGCACTAACTAACTAACTAACAAATGATTCTTTTATAACTAACAAATGATTCTTCTTCCTAATACAAGTATCAAAATAATGCTGATTCATCTATGTTCAATAATAAATTTTTAAATCTGTGACCCCTGCTTCTGTCCCCTCACCCACCCATGACTCTCGAAAATTCTTCCTCTGCAGAGGTATATCTTAAATGAGACTTCAGTTGTGAATTCCAGTTTTGAAATTGTCATTATTTTTGTGGTCATCATTAAACTTAGTAATAAGTTCTATGTACTATGTATTTTCCTTTCTATATATTCCTATTCAAAATAGCATTAGCTCTATCAGGCTGCTAGGCTAATAATGTTTGGTAAAGAAAGCATACATTGGTTTTCAAAACATTAGGCAATTCACTACCAAAAAAAACATAGTAAACTGTTTATCTGCTTGTCTTAAAAATAAGGTTCTGTTTAACAGTTCTTGGTGCCCAGTTATAGATCAAAACCCTTTTTAAGGGAATACAATATAGTATAGTGCACTTCAATTAATATATTAATTCCCAAAGCCATTCCTGTTATACAAAAGACATTTAATTTGTGGAGAAGTACCCCATGTTGGTACTTAAGAATTACCTAACTAAATCATGATATCTGAGTTTTATGATCTTGAGACAAGTATAAAAAAGAAAAAAAACAAGAAGACAAATAATGCAGATCACTGAAAGCAAAGCAGCAGGTATTTTCAAACACTTCAATGAGAACCTGAGAGGAGAGAATACTGAGGGGAAAAAAGAACGCAGTTGACTAAGGCTTCAGTCTGGAAGCAACTTTATGCTCAGTACAATTGAGTAAGTGTCTGGGAGTCTACAGTTTGGACTGAGGAATATTCAGATGATCTAAGCTTCTGTGTTCCATTTTAGAACCGACCAGGAAGAGGGGGGTGAGGCAAAGCAGTGATGACGAGGCTTCCCACTCACCAAAATTGCATGCCTGCCCACTGAGGGCCGAGAGCTGCTGTGAATAGGCCCAATCTTCATCACTCGGAGCAGAGATCACCAGCAGCCGCCTCCTCCATCGGAACCTTGAAAAAAGAAAGGCGGCCACAATTACTGCTTTAAACAACCGAGGCTAGTGTGAAAAAGCAGGGTAACTTTGGCTGTTGGTTGTTTCTTGTGCCCAGAATAGAAAACACTGACCCTTAGAAATGTTTCATAGCTCTTCAAAGCCATTAAACCACAATTCCACATTTCTTGCACTTTTTCTATTGTAACTCCACAGTCAGCTTACTGTGGCATTTGCATGATGTGTCTGGCCGCTATGCCGGATGAGGTCACTTAGGAAGAGACAAAGCTCTCAGATGCAATGAAGACTAGCCAAAATTGTATATTATATTGTAGCAATGGAAATAGGGAATCTAAAGGGAACTAAAGAAAATTCAAGTTCTAGTAGAGTTCCCTAGGATTTGGAGGGGGGTTAAGAAATGAATATATGAATAGGAAACAGAATAGGAAAAAGGAACAAAATTTTAAGTAGGTGATAGTAACAGGGTGAAGGAAAGTGGGAAAATGGCTCAAAGGGTCAAGGAGTGTTCCTGAAAAAACAAAGCTCTTATTTACCTTCCTCAGTAGCCAATGATTCTTCCAAAGGCAAATGCAAGTTCTAAAATGTACCCTATTATCATTAGCAAGAACCAACACTTATAGAGGACCCCTATGAAGTAGACGGGGGCTAAGCCTAGAGCCTAGGATTTTAGACTATATAGTAAACTTGTTTCTACTTTTATAGCTCCAACAGAGTAGGGTAGTAGAAAGAGCTTCTGTCTTGTAGCTGAGAAACCTGAGTTCATGTTTCATCGCTGCTACCCATTGGGTTCTTTGAGCAAGTCCTTTAATTCATCTAAGTCTGTTTTTCCTTATCTCTGGAATCGAAAATAGCATTTACATCAAGTGGCGTTATAAATATTAAGCTAAAGGCTCATCAATTTAATCCATGTGAGGACATGGATACAACTCGTGTTTTAATCTGAAGATTTCTAGATGTAGAATCTGGTCCATTAACAGACCTTGGACATTGTCTATCACGATGCCATATGATAACTGATTGAATCCTTATGCTTGTATATCATTTTATAGCTCACTCTCATCTATCTACACAGTGCGTTTCTCATTAGAACTCAGTGAGTGAATGGCTTATTGTCTCCATTTTACAGATGCCAAAAATGAGGCTTAGAGGAGTGAAGTAACTTGCCTAACAAGTAAATCTAAGAGTTGGTAACAAAATACAGATTTCTCTGACTCCCGGGCCGGTGGTTTCCCTAGTCTACCACCTCAGTGACCCTGATGCTTGGCCGGTGTTATCAGGGTTCCTAAAAGGGTCTGAGGGAGAGAGGGTATGCAAGCCAAGAGGAAACTGTATCGAGTTGTCTCAAATTCCGTCTTCATCCGAGAAGGGGTTTTGCTTTCGCCTTCAGTGTAGGCAACTGTGGGGTATTAGTGCACTCGGTGAGCTGGAAGCCTGATGATTTTATTCATGGCTTCTCTCCCTGTGCCCCTTCCAGCCTCAGAGTGAATATGAGAGTTTTCAACCCAAAGAAATGGCCTCTTGGGGGAATAGTGGTTTGGGTGAATGAGAGAAAATGATAGCCTGATGAAATACAACCTCTGAATGGATGCCTGTAGCAAGGCTCGCCAAGAATTGCTTGCTGTGACATTACATTTGCTTCCTCTGCTTGTTTTTCTTCAAAGGGAAAGAAAAACTAAAATCTCCACTGAGGTTAGGGAGATGAATGTATTTGGCACGGAGGAGGAGACAGGAGCATCTGAGACTGTCCGAGGTTTCCTGGGAAAGGGAACAGTGATTGCTGTCGGATTGCAAACATGGTCTCCTGTACTTTCCCTGCTTCCTTAGGAGACATGCCAGACCAGCACTGCCCTGCCCGCCGCCCCCGCCCCCC